ATACAATAATTATAAACTTGTAATCGTGGAGATTGATGATAAAGTTATTGAAAATAATTGTTCGCTCCACTATTCTTTGTTTTTGCAATATGACTATACATTAAAGTCATATCAACAGACTGAGTTCAAGTGCTGTTAACAAGTTATGATTACCAATTGAATGTTTCGTTTTTACTAAAAGAATTTATATAGCACATATTTGACCATTATATATAATCATACTAATAAATATACAATAAATTAGCATTTTTTTACACATTATCCTAGAATTTTATTCCAAATTAATGCATATTTATAAGATATTGGATAACTTAATCCATCTAACAAAAGTAAACTTCAACCAATGAATTAATTTTAAGAGAGCAAGAACAAAGATTGGTGCAGAATAATATGAATTCATTTTATTTCGTTAGGTTCTTATCAGCTGCTTACAACCTAAAATATGTGAAATTCAAAGTTATTATAGATATTGACATACTTATACACATTTTCATGGCTAACCTCGAAAGAACCAAGCTCAAAGGAGCGATTGACGGGGTGATGTATTATTCGAGGTATGTTGATGATACATTCATCTTATGTAATAATCAACAACATGCGACAAATCTGTTAAGGTTTTTCAATGAAGCTCATCCAAATATTCATTTCACTATGGAACATGAAAAAGAAAAGAAAGTTCCATTTTCTAGATATAGCGATAAAACGAAGAAAAGATGGCACAGTTCAACGCTCAGTTTATAAGAAAGACACATGGAATGGTATTTATCTCAATTTCAACAGCTTTTGTCCAATCAATTATAAAAAGGCACTTGTCAAAACACTGTTTCACAGAACAGAAAGAATATGTACTTCCGATACAATAGAAGAGGAAATTATGAATGTTAAAAAGCGTTTAAGAAATAATGGATACCCCTTGAGATTTATTGAGAAATATGGAAAACGTGAAGAGAAAATACCCAAAGAAACTACAGTAAATAAAAAACCTGTTTTTATTCAACTCAAATTCAAAGGCGATAATATCACAGGGTCAATCAATATGAGACTAAAAACTGCATTGACAAAAACATATCCTGCAGCTAAATTGATTGTCCTGTCCTAAACGACCTGTTCTTTGACACAATCAAAGGTCGACAAGTATCCCTTTCATGTTACCACCAACTGTGTATACAAATTTACATGTATCTGCCAAAACAGTTACATTGGTAGAACAGAAAGGAGAGCTTACGTCCGATTCAAAGAACGTATTCCGAAGAGTTTGAGATCAAACGGACTAAAAGCATTTGGCAGCGATGTCGCAAGACATCTCCTTGACACAGGACACAAAGTCGATATACTGAAGTCCTTCAAGGTGATCAACAAACAATCAAATTCAAACCTTTTGAAATTCACCGAAGCAATAACAATCAAACGTTTAAAACCAGATCTTTGTATACAAAAAGAAACAGTAATAAATCTTTCTTTGTCCTGGTAACATTCACCCCACCCTCTTTTATTTTATTTATTTTTATTACGTCATTCCAACTCTTTCTGAATTTTATAATTACATCATTCATAACTGACCGATTTCAATTCATATCTCTTTATTAACATTAATCTATTTTCAGTTACTTCATTACATAATCGTCTAATGTGTTTTAATTCCATGATTTCTAATCACTATCTTAATTTTCTGGAACTTTCCCTCCCGAACTCTATATATTCGAAACAAAATTTTATGACCTCATTAACTCTAACGAAATCTTTGCTACATTATGTTACATATATTCATCCTTCATCGCCCTTTGTTGTATAAGTATGTCAATATCTATAATAACTTTGAATTTCAAATATTTTAGGTTGTAAGCAGCTGATGAGAAGCTAACGAAATAAAATGAATTCATATTATTCTGCACTAACCTTTGTTCTTTCTCTCTTTAAAATAATAAAGGGAACTATGTGTATGAAATGAATTAATTATAAACAATATTAAGTCATTTAGACTAGTTTGGCCACTGAATTACTATTGATCTGTAGAATTTGATTAGAGCTAATGACGATTAGAGAAATATGACATTGAATACCTTCTGGTCAGTAATGCAATCATTCTATGGCGCATTTGTTTTGTCTTGTAGTTAACGGTAATGGTATTTACTTCGGTTGCATCAAGGCTTCGATAAGTCTGTGTGAAATTCAAATCGGTTGCAGAAAAATTAAGAATTGACATTGGTTATATTGTCAAATAACAAATTTACTAGATTTCCAGAGTTTCATTTATCTCTCATTCCATAAATTTATTTTTACGTAAAAGAATGTATTGATCAATTCAGTTTATATAATCTTCCGAAACTATAATTGTTTACAAGTGGTTTACTCATTGTTCATTTTTGTGCGCAGCTTTATTCGCTTATAATTCAATATTTTTTATCTCTGAGCAGGAAGTAGCTTATCAGAGATCCTTCACTTATTATTCAGTTGTTAGAAAACTTTTAGTCAACCTAAAAATGATATTACTGGTCAGTAATTCCTATCATAGACGGTTTTCATCAAGGATTGATCTCATTTGGGCTGAGTATCGAAAATCGGCAACTGTTTCGTCTAACTAGTTTTGATCCATAACGTGTATACAAACTACGAATCGATCTATTATCTAAAATGTTTATTTCTGTCAAAACAATAATCCTGTAATGGCTATTGACCTACTTTTAGTAATAAGTAAACCTGTTGCATTTCTGCAATCCTTAAAATAAAGGTAAATAATAAAACTTTCTTTTTTTCTGAGTGGAGATGAAGGTCATTCTTTGTGTAAAACAATTCAAAGATTTTCTTACTTGTTCTACTCGTGTCAATGTTACAGTTCCCATAAGAAATGTTTGCCTTTTCATTATTATTGTTTTTCTTTGTTTTCAATCAAATGAATTAAACAACAATGAGAAACCACAGTTGTTTAATTTCAAATAATTGTCTTTATTGTATTAATCATATTTCTTCTTCTAATAGTACTAGTAATCGTTGTAGTCGTCACAAGGCAGATATATGGTTCATAGCTAAATAGACATAAATTCACTTTTTTAGGTGGAGTTTTGTTCTCTAAGCTGGATGGTTTTGTCGTGGACTTTTCATCGTTGTTCTGAACAACATTATCCGTACAAAGTTCAGGTAGAAGTGAAGTGTTCAAATTTGTTCACATATAACACAGCTTGTCCTAACGACCTCGATCTTAACTGGTTATTGTTCACTCTATTGAAAATTCATTTTCTATTTGTTATTTCTCCGTAATTTGAATCCATTGATAAAATTCTCTTCTTCATTGTAACCATGGAAAACGATGTTTTTTTCATTGTTGTTCAATCAGGTTTTATTAGAAATGGAAAAGTTAATTCTTTGTAAAGCAACAGTTAGGTAATAATAGCATTTATTCTATATATTCATATTGTGATGGTATTTTCTGAATGGATCTTTGCAATAAAAATTTGAGTAAATAATAATAATGTTTTTTTTTATAAGTTCATAATGTATAAGTATATGAACTAACTCATCTTTGTTTGACTTTTTTACGGCATCCAAGATATCTTTCTCTCTTAAATAAATAACCTTGAGTGATAATATATTTTTTCATGTACGAACTTGACGATTAAATCTTTGTATCAATAATGTATGGAAACGAAAATCGATCGATTTATTTTCAATCGAGAATAAGACTTCTTTTTGGAAATAATTCAATTTGAAATGGTTTGAATCATCCCATTAATAATGATTTTTGACTGAAATTGGATCACTCTTGGTTAATATATGAAAATCGTAAGAGAACTACTTGTTCAACACGTGTTCATATGTCAACCAAGATTGATCACATTTCAGTTAAAACTATCAATAACATGATAATCCAAACTGTTTCAAATTGAATGAAATCTCATAGTCGTTGTACAAGTAAGTGAATACCTTCAGCTAACGTGATTGCTTTTAAAGTAAACATTACTAGGTCCGAGTCTTGGAGCGATCATCAATTCTGCCGAGTCCCAACTAGAAAGAAACCCTTATCCTGGATTTCAGTCTTGATAGTTACATTCCAAATGTATTAAAAGTTAGTAAGCAATATATTCAACCAAAAAAAAACAAAAAACAATTGTATTGTTTGTAAAGATTTTGTTGTAAGTATTGTATTTCATTTTCAATGTTTTAATGTTTTTCTAGAATATTTAGTTTATCTGTATATTTATAATCTGCTATCAGAAATAATTAAGTCACGTTGTACGTTTGTTTCTCATTGAATTGAAGTGCAAAGTGTACGATTTAGTTCAATTTTGTTTCATTTGAAAAACACATTCACATAATTGTTATAATAAGAAACAAAAATGGGACACTTATTGTCATTCACCCACCTTTTATTATTTGAACATTTTCATTATATTCAGTCTGTTTGTACAAATATATTATTTACTTTAATTATCTTATATCCAACAATGTGCATCACAAATATTGATCAGACTGGATTTATTAAAAAGAGTGTTTATTTATTTATACACGTTTAATTAAATGTTAAGTGTAAAGCTGAACTATGAGAGCGTGTAAGTTGCTAATCGAACTTGAATGATTACTCGTAATGACGACAACATCATTAGATACTTGAGTTTAGGTTTCACGCAATGATATATGCTACAGGATTACGAGTTACAATTGACCAGTCACTGGGTAGTGATCAAAGTCATGTATATTAAGTCCTGCTTAGTGCTGATCTATAAAATTCTCATACTCTGTGGTAACATTTCTGACTATGAGGCTGGATGACACAGGATCTAATCCACTAAGGATAGTCAATGACCACAAGATTACAGGTACACCATGCGAACAAGTACTGATTAGCACGAAACCAAGTTCCCAAGTATCATGCTAACCACCTTACATATTTAAATCTAGTATTTTAGTTAGAGTTAAAGGTTTAAAATTAATTAGGCTTAAATTCTGACTCAAATTTTAAATCTTATGCTCTATGTCTATTCGCTGTTTTCTTATTGGTTGAATAGGTCACAAATTTGTCAAGGTCATTTTAAGCGACACTGCCTCCTCATGGTCCAGCTTCAATGGTGTTATCAGTAAGATTTATTATTTTAATTCATGACCTATCTTTTCAAGAAATCTACACATTTCAAATGTAGTTGTAATTTTGCAAAAGTTTTCTTAGCTAACTAAAAGAAGCTAGAAGGTAAAAGGTTAAAACAACATTATATTAATCTACTATTCCCTTTATCTGACTTGGTTTATAACACATCTATTCACTTCGTTTGAAAAACTTCACTTGTTTTAAATTCATATTCTTTTTGTTGAGTATTTTATTTTGAGTTTGCTTAATTTATGAATGGATTGATTCTAGGGTGTTTTTCAATAAATAAACGTTTGTCAGGAGTGAATATATACTACCTTTCTAGTTAAATGTATTTTGCAACATATTTTTTATATGATGCAAGTTGAGTTGATAGTCAATTTATTTGTAATGAAGACGGTCACTTACTGTTGCTAATGTAACTGATTTTTTTACTAATATCCTATGCATGTGTAGTGAATAAGAACTCAAATGGGAAAAACCAGTTTATGTTGTTTAATGCAAAATTACATAGTGTTTTCATAAAATATAAAAATCATACATCATTTGCACATCTTTGAATTGTCTTTTACCTGCTCCATTATTCCTCTAATTCTGTTATTATTTTGGTTGCTCTCCGATTTTCTTTACGTTTTTTCTTAATTCAATCTTCTGCTGCCAGTCATTCTACTTCCGTTTACGGTCACATACTACTTATATTTGTCAGCATAAGTAGCATACACTACACATGTATTTGTTCATCTTTTACACCAGGCTATTTTATTAGATGTATTAATTCAGTAACTCGAAAACTTTCATTGTTATAATAGATATGTGTATACAAGTTACATATTTTTATTAAGTTGGTAAAAATCTATATTGAATAATGTTGTTTTTTTTCCTAAAAAAATGTATTAAAGATTGTAAACCAGATCATTTAGTATAATGGATCTACTTTATGTAGATGAAGAGAAAAACATTTTTCACAAATCATTCCATGAACTTCATGTATAAAATGTTACACTGAAAAATAATGTTTATAGGTTTCTATGAAAAATCTGTTTGCTTTTATATCCTTCTGCATATCCTATTCCTCTAGAAGTTGAACTAATGAAATTGTTCAAGTACACATTAATTTAAGTGAAACAACTCCTATGTTCAACCAATCACTAAACAAAAAAAAATCATTAGAACAACTTAATTGTAGAAAAATTAAATAAAAATCGTTTGCCGTTATTTTAACACCCACACTGATAGTATTGCCTTGAAAAACAATGAAAACTTTGTAAGTAAATTATTCAGCTTCTAAAATGTTACAATATCAAGATCATTTATGTAAATCAAAAATAGTTAAGTGAAAGGGTGTGCTTAAGGTGAAATTTGAACATTTTGTTTGCAGCTTTGAACACCTCACATATCCCTCCTCCCACAACTCATTAAAATACATTTAGAATTCAAACTGCCCCATACAATTGAGGATAGCTTCACAACACGTAACTTCACACATTAATTTGATTGACGGTCAGTACTTTTAAAAGAAGTTCTTATCCTAAAGGTTGATCGATATCAGCTGAATCCTGTTTCTTCATTGATATGCCACCGATCATATAATAATAATAATAATAATCTTTTATGACCCCAAGTCATAGTTTAAGTTTCATAATGCACAGAATCAATTTTAAGGTCAGAAAAGTCAATATGTTAAAGAAAAACCCTCCTTCTGTTCATTATGCAAAACCTTTTAAAATAGAAAATATTACTGCCTAAATAAATCCTGTAAATCTAACTATGGTTCAAACTTTTTTCAAAGGATAATTTGAAATTTAACATAGAATTATTCGAAAAACAAATGGAAATACTTGGAATAAGTTTAAAAGTTATCTGGTTTGTGTATATCATATGTAAAGCTCTTTTTTCTCCTTTAGTATTAACCTGTCAATTCATAAATAACCAGTTATCTTTGAGTTATTTACATATATAACTACATCGGAACAGAATTTACATCATGCAACTTGGAATTGATTTGAGTAATGACTCAAATGTATTCATTAGTGTTATTTATCTTCTCGGAATGAGATCCTTTAGTTTGAATATTATTTCGTGTTCTTTATTATTCATCTGATTTCATTTATTCTTTTTTTGAACTATTGATTATCTTTCTACGTTTAATGTCCCATTACAATTGGTTTTAAGTATTACTGTTGTAATTTACGTCAATTTGTTAAAAGATCAGTCCTCTCATTTTATCGAATTGATTTCAATTATGTGTAGTAACTATTCAACTCAGTTTCCAGGTACAAATTCGTTTACTTGATTTTAAGACACCGCATACTAGATATGCGGACTAGCGATATTACTACTTAATCATGGGTTTCAAATGATTGAAAGCCGAATACCTTAATCACTGAACCACCATCCCTATGTTGTTTATAGCTCTAGATGCTTATTATTTGAATTTCTCAATTCAATTATCTAAATATATTGAATCTTTTATTTTTATTACTTAGAGTATTAATCATCGGTAACAGAACCGGATGGAAACTCTACATTGTGTCTATGTGTACATATGTACGTGAACTATACTTCATTCAGTTGCCTTAGTCTAATCTTTTTTTTATTTCGAAATCGTTTTTATCCTATGAGTCAGCTTTGGTGTGTAATTATAGGTCGTTACCTTACTTTAGTATATGAATTTTCACATGTAACTATAAATGAACTGAATTTTTCAAATTATTACTAAGTATAATAGTGATAATGTCAATATCATGTTTTATAATTATTAGAAATTAGATGGAATTGGTCCAAGTATATTGTTTATCCAATTCATGCGTGTACGTACTTGTATTCGATTTTATACATAATGGACTATTACCTTTGGTAAAATATGTTTTCTACTTTATATATATATATATATATATATATATATATATATATATATATATATATATATATATATATATATATATATAAAAGGAGAGTCAAAAATCCGGACGACTAATACTATCGATTTAATTATTATCATTAAGCTAATTTCCATTTAATCTAGGTATATATATATATATATCGTTTTATCAGTTTACTGTTTTCATATATTCTGATTACTTACCATTTTCGTATATAATGAATAATTGTTGGATTGTTTTAAATAAAGGCCAACTTATTGTACTTATCGATAGTAGAGTAGTAAGATATGTCATGTCTGGAGTACAGAATATTAATCAAGCCCTCCCTATCTGTTGAGTTTGGAAAGTAAATTACTATGTTAATAAGCTCAATAACGTGATATATTGTATCTTTAAATTAAATGGGTGATAACAATCAGCAGGAATCCTCAGAAATAAGTTTCATGCGAATTAGCACTTGTCGACTAAGCATACTTAGAGTATTTAGAGAAATATTACTCTTGCATAGATTCGAATCGGCATTGGACAGCATCATAACCACAGAGAGAGAGATTACAATTAAACTATTTGCGTTGTAATTAAATTTCTGTATGAGATATTTACATTAGTTTATAACTGAGTAGTGTGGTGTGTGCGCTACTTATATCGACATAAGTAGTATATGATATTAGTCGTGAACAGAATGTCTGGCAGCAGAGAGACAAGAGGATCGAACAGTAAAGAACGGGAACAGAATGCAATTTGTATGAAAATGCAAGAACAATGAAGTCTGAGTCATTATGAGACAATTGATGGACATTTTGCAAATTACATATTAACTATTTGATTGTTAGATTTTATTAACAAGTCCTGTAATTTTGTGTCAAATACATTCGATTGTCCCCACTGGTGTTCATGTTCACTACAGTAGTAGTCAGTATTGTTTTATATAGTTATTTGTACTCTAATTGGTCAATGACACTATCTCGTATGCAAAATACATTACGTAGTTACACGTACACAATGTTAGTTGTGGAATTCCCCAATTATGATTAAACAATACTTGTGGGGTTTATGATGAACAGTTTATATATAATATATATACTTATTGACAGATTATTCTTCATCATTTTGATTACTGAGGGATAAAATCCCTAATTGACAGATGTGTTAGCATGTATTGATGACTAATTTAATTTATGGAATTTCGTGTTTACTTTTTTTTACTTCTGAGATTTATCTTTGTTTATCATTACTAATATAATGTATACATTCGTTATTGTTTATTTTCATTCAATCGAAAGTTTTTGTAAAGATTAGTTTGATTTTGAAAATCTTATCTCCTAATCTCGGGAATCAATGTGAACCAGGAAGCACTAGGCAATTGTAGTATCAGAAGTAAGTATGGTGTTACTTACCAATGAAACAATAAAATAAATCTAATCTATACTGACAACCTTGGGGGAACCAGTCAAATCGGATTTTCACATTAAATTCAAAGTATAGTGAAGGATAGCATGTATTTTATTAGGAATCAAATAAAACTCGTTTTTACCTAGTTCGTAAAAATGCTTAGAATGGTTAAAAATACCTCTTTTGCAACCGTACAAAATGAATGTGACTCGATGAGTATACTCAACTATAAGAAATATCTCTAGCTAATAGAGATTACATCTATGTATACTATAGATGTGATTTAAGGCATAGTTCAAGGGTATTTATGCGGTTAGAAATTATTCACTCACTCGAACTCCTGATTTTAATTTTTAACCTCAAACGTTCATTAATTTGTAAATAATATATGACACTAATTTATTAATAAACTAATGAGATTGTAGATAGTGTCTCTCGAATTTTTGAGCGAGATCTCGATAAATATTGTCATTTGTTTGAGGTTGTGCAGTATTGATTTAAGCATTTGAAAACCACTATCTGACACAAATGAAATTTGTTTCCATAATTATTCTCTCGTGTACTACCTAGACATACATTCCTGTTGTATAACTCGATACTGAAAGTCGAATATTAAATGTATTAGGATTATGTGTATTTTAGAAATGTTAACTGGCAGTTAGGATAATTGCAAATTTAACTTGGTAACCAAATCGTTGAATCACTTATGATTCAGTTTATATATGATCATAGATTTAGTACACTAAGTAGATAAACGGACAAATTTAGAAAGTGTATTTTTATTAAAGGGCATGGTCTATGAGAAATAAGTACTGAATTATTAACAGCAGGATAAAAATGACACGCATCTATTAGTCACATGATTGTATGCTTTTATATCTGTTCAGATCAGAATAAATTTGTATAGGTAGGTTGTATAACAAGAGTGAGGGTGGGGCTGTTAAGCTCACTCAGATGTGCGTCTACACACACTACTGACATAGATACTTTCGTGTTGTCATGATGCAAGCTGTATCTAGTTCTCACAAATCCTCCAGGTGATAATCAATCTATGATGATAAACTCCACGCTTATTATTTATTTTGTTTGTTGAAATGAAAATTTCCTGTGAGATTCATTCGTCCTTTTTTTTTCTTATTTACATTTTGTGTACAATTGATTCTGATATGTGATATCAGTAGTATCATGTTTAAAATGTTATTCATCGTTATTATATGATGAAATCAATCTTGATTATTGTTACAAGTTCTATGAATTTGTTTTCAACTGTTCTATCATTCATTATACTGTTATACGTGTAACTGGTTAGCAGTACCAAGAAGAAAAATAATAAATAAATAGAACTTTCTACAACTATCAGTTTTTGAGCACGAGTTACATCTTTTTTCAGTTAGCGAAATTTCCCATTGTGCATAATTAGAATCGATAATATAAACCTTTTGACTGTTTATACAATTGTTAATTGATATGCATAGTTCTATAACGGTTTATATTGAAAGGTGTACATTATTCACTAGTATTGTTACTTTTTAAGCTCTTATGTCAGTAGTTATTAAGTTTCATTATTAATCTTGATAGAATTGTTATTGTTATTACATTGTTGATGTAGTTCACTATTCAATTAGATGCTTACTACATTTAATACGACTGTACAACAATCTTTCGTGTTATCCTTCAGTATTAGAGAAATAATTTTCTTAATTTTGTTTAGCGGTTGATCTATCGACTTATAATTACTCAATAACATACAGATTTTGCATTCAGTTTTATTTTTGAACTCAAATGAATGGTATGTTTAATTGTATGATACGGTTACTAACAACTGACGATGTTATTGAGCATTTTATATTAATCCTTACAACCATTCGAATGAATGTATTAGAAACATCATTATACTTAAGATAGATAGTGGCTAGTAATGAAATCCAAGATGTGCGTTTCGTCCTATTTGGGGCTCGCAGGCACATCCAGCTGACGAGTCCCAAATAGGACGAAACGCGCATCCTGGATTCCGCTGCTAGCCACTATCCATCTTTGCTTATAAAGCTTGTGAATTAAGGCAATATGCACAGTATGTACATATGCTAATAACAGGATGATCAATTGCAGTTTTAAATCACTATGGGAAGATTCAAGCAAACACAACACTAAGTGAATCATTATACTTAGAAACATATTTAGATTTACATAGTCATGTATTTCGATCATATTGCTATAGTAATCTATCAAACTATTTATTTATAATAGTCGCTATTAACTCAAAAATTTCAATATTTCAAAAGTAGTACCAAGATAAGTGTTATAACATGAACTAGACTCTTTTTTTTATTTAAAACTAATATGATGGATATTCGAGACTTTCTCACAGTTTCTCATCCTTTTTTTACTTTAATGATCAATATTAAATATTAGTTCATCAGTCAGTTCGTTGTTTTCTTAATCTACACCGTAAAAACAAAATGTTTTAAATGTTATCCTATTTCTTTCTCAATTTTTTTTGTATATGGTGACTCATCTCGAGGAGAGTTTGATGGGACAGAAATAATATTGATTAATTTTTTTATCAGACAATTATATTTTAATACGGATTTACTTCTACTATTTCAATATGAAATGAATTTCTCCTGATGTTAACTTATGTATATCTATTCAAAAATCTAATTGTAGAGTGGTAATTGAATTGTTGGAATGCGTAGTTTCTAACCATTGACTTGTAGATTTCAAATTTACCACAATGATACAAGATTAGCAAGTCAAGGATTTATTATTAGGCTTTATATGAAAAGTTTTACTCGAAGAAAAATACTGAAAACTGTGTTTCATAGATGAGTTACATGAGAGTAATTATGCGTTGCGTTATATATATATATATATATATATATATATATATATATATATATATATATATATATACAACAGCTGTTTACCATTTAAGACTGGCAAATAAATTTGTACACAGGTAGATAAAAGCACACCTTAACTGTACATTATCGCATATTTGAATCAGCATCCTATTGGCTGATATTTCATAACAAATGTTTTTGTGCCCTTGACCTTGAGGCTTCTTATTACGACCGTGTCACAAATAATGATTGACAAATATTTACTATAGTTTGCATAAACATTCAGAAACTACCGATTAACTAATCGTTATACATATACATATTTTTTCGAATAAATCAGGTAGTTAAAAATCGTTACGATGGAACTTTGGGTTGTATGGACTTGAATTTTCGAAAAGACCGTCTTTCTTTCCGACCACGACCACGTGAACTAGTAATCCCAACAAAAGCAACAACGTTTCCAAGGGTAGTTGGTTACGATTAAATATTTTCGTCATTTTTTCACAGCATTTGTATTACAGATAAACTTGCCATAAGCCACATATATGTATATATATATATCATGTACATGTATGTATTTTTTCATCCATTTTGTACAATTATCAAATCCTTGCCAGTATGACTTTTATTTCTCTTGAGAAACAGATTCCTATATTTAATAAATTATTATTATAAGATTTAATTGTATTCTAAAAATGTACATTAATAAATAATTTGAAACAATAAAAGACAAGAAATAGGATAACTTCATATGAAGTTTACTATCTTTTATGGACTGACTAATTATTCATGAAATAGATTCCCTGTTTCTCTACAATTTATTGCCAAGTGATTTATCACGTAGTACGAGTTCATTAAATGACCGCATTATTAAAACTGTCTATTTCCCATTAATACTCGTAATTAGGATTCATTTTATGTATGATGAGAAGCTAAAAATTTTATTGTACATAAACATTTACCTGACACTTTGTTGGGTACCAACAATAATAGCTGATTTCAATGGTCATGTCTTAATCATTTGAATAATACAAGGCTGTTTTATTATGGAAGCTAGTTAGTTTGTTACTGGTGTGGTAGAGTAGACTTATTTTAGGTAGCCAAATCCCTCAAATCGCATAAATCTGGCCTATGTTGTTGAACTGGCCAGTATGCGACTAATGTTTAGAGGGTCAAATCGATTGTTACCGACCAGTAAACTGATAATGTATTTTGTCAGTTAATGATTTGCAACAGGAGTACGTAATACACTTTGGAAAGGACAGGAGGCCGTGTGGCTTGTGCTACACGGAACTTTCGAAAATTGTACAATGCCTAAACTATTATTTATTTAGTGAATGACCATTGATTTTTTATGCAAGGTATCAAGAAGTCAGGGGAGATAAATTTTTTCGACTGTAATTTCCTAACAAGAGGATATTTGTTATGTAACCCTAAAGGTGGCAATCCTACTAGAGAACAGGATTTCGCTTACTATTGTTAAATCCAGGATATCCCCTACCCATCTAGCACCTTATATACTTTCGAGACAGCTATCATGTCATTAAATTATTAAATGTGAGTAGCAGCCTCAGGATTTGTTGAGACAACAGATTTGAGGCATATAATTTCTTCAATGTAGTCTGATTTGAATCCACAGGATACTTTATGTACCTTTTAATACCGGGACATAAAACAGAATTTTGTTTTCCAATTATCATGATGAGAACGATCTGTCTGCTTAATTGAACAAATGTAGTGTATGTTTGTCGTTTGAAATAGAATGTAAACAACTTAATAATTAACATGTATCAGGTCCTGCTATGAATTTATCATTAAATGCTAAGCAACAATTTTCCAACAAGCAATTTGCAATAAACTTTCACGATAGCGTACACGGATATCGCAGTCCCAAGTAAAAATTAGCAATATTTACGTCTCAAGAGTATGTTTACTTGAATCTCTGAATCCAGATTTTGAACCAAGTTGGAGCAATACTTCTTTCTCTTATAATGAATTCACTGTCAAATAATAATTACTGATTTTCCAGATGTCACTCGGATCATGAGAAAGTGCATGGCATTGTTGATACCCAGTCAGAAAATTATAACTCATAATGTGCGACATTAATCTACCACTATAAGTCGACCCGAATCCTTTGAACGGGACTTTTCTGAATGTAGCACTGCATAGAAAGTTCAGTCGATTATCATTTGCTAGGGCAACTCGTAAGCTAGTTCAACTCCTGATGACTGAGTAGAATATTGGCATATGTATATTAGTGGGTTAAATTAAATCGTACTATATTCTGCTTCAATTTATTGTGCTAATAATCTGAGCTATTTACATGATTGTTTTATCGAACTAACAGTGTAGATTAGCATTAGAATTATAAGGAAAACTACAATGGTCCTGCTGACATTCAATACAAATTGTTTGTTAGCATTAAAAATACTGAGTATGAAGTGCGTAACATCAAGATGTTTGTGCAGCTACATCATACGTTATACTCACTTCTAGATATTGTGGAGTTTATACTTCCTTCAGTCTAGACCAGTTACTAAAATACTTACCCACATTCCAATGTTTTTAACTATTTGAGGATTTACAAGTCTTTTAAGGACATGATTATTTTTAGAAAGTTTCAAAGCATAGGAACGACTATTAGCAGAAACAGAGTAAGGAAAAAATCAGAAGAAACAATAGGAAGAATATAAATCAGTGTAAACTGGCATGATTATAATCACATCAGTGAAATGCGTTAACTGGAAGACACGACAAAAATGTCGTAATGAGGGTAATCAACTAGTAATTAAAAGGGATCAGTGTACATCAAAGTATATCACAGCTCATAACAAAGTGTTTGGCAGTTTTTTAAGTTATGGTCTTTTGAGTTTAGTAGTGATTACTCTTCCAAATCCATAAGTTCTTTGATAGCTAGCTGGACTTCTTTTGGATCCAGTGTGACTGAAAGTCGTAAGTTTTGCAACTCTAATTGACATAATGCACCTGCACGAATGAGAACAGTAGCAAGATCATCTGCAAGTTTGGAAGTTAGCGTAAGTTTACTTGGAAGTGTTTTTACTGCAGGAAGTCGTAAGTAATTATTGACCTCTGTTGATGAAGGTTTGGTTTCTGAAGAATGCAAACTACAGTCCTCAGATAGCCGTTTGATTATTTCCGACTGAGTAGCGATCAGTATCACACACAGTGCAGATACTGACTCCGGAGCCATACTATTACTGTTGAAGGTCTGCGAAAAACGGCCTAACTTGCAGTCTAATACAAGAACACCGGATGACTGCTCTAAGTATTTAACGATTGCGTCACGTAGTGATGAACCATTCTCAAGAACTGTATTATAAAACTGTACGGATTTACTGTCCAGTATAGCTCGACTGACCATTCGAGTTTTGTAGTCATCTGCACTGTTAATAATTGGACATTTAGAATAATCTTTTGATGAATTCTGATTTAAGCTAATATCCCGATATGTCTCATTGTTGGCCAGGTTAAATTTTGTACAACCATCAACAGGTGGATTTTTTGGAGACATTTTATTTGATGATTTTGATTGGCGTAAGCAGCAGACCAGAGGTAAGAGCAGTTTGATCCACTGATTACGGGCACTTTTGATAGTATTTTCTGCTGGCTTAACATAATCCATATTTGACTGGTTAGTATTTGTAGCTAGTCTGGGTGTGGTGGTATGGTCTATCCATATAGGTAAAGATGGTAACCTAAGGAACAAAATGAAGATGTGGTTATTTATTAGACTTTACAGCTAACAGAATATCTTCGATTATAAGCTGTGCACAGTATGAAATAAATAATGTTTATCTGTTGAATCGTGGAGAGAAAGATTCTGGAGCATGGTAGAAGTTCACTTCAAAATAGCCATGCAAATCAGTTAAATATAGGTGGAAAGAAAATCGTAGACAGGTAGCAGGCCAATTCACATGAGTTCGTAGAAGTTGTCAGATACTAGTTTATTAATGATAATAATCTTTGTAATATTCCTTAAAAATCAAGGGTTTACCTGAATAAGCCAGAACAACCGAAATAGTTAACTATTATCGAAAGTTTTCTAGAAAAAACATCCATTGTTTTGAAAAACTGACTTTTATTAACTGTAAATATAATTAGATGTTGCTACGACAGTTGTAGAAGGTATGAATTACATGTGTGATATACTGGAACGTAATTTCTTCACAGATATAGATTGATATTTTTTAGAAACAATGATAATTATATTAACCACAGATATTTTCCCATCTGATACATAAAAATACACAGTTCTCTTTAGTTGAAAGATAAGAAGTTAAACATGATTACAAGATTAGCTTTTTACACGATTTTATAGACCAGTGACACTAATCGAAAGAAATAAGGAGAAAGCTTCAAGCGTTGATATCTATTAATGAGCATTTCGATATTAGTAACTATATAAGTATAAAGCCCATTAGTCTAACTCAACTGGAAACTTTTCAGTAAGAAGAATTATTTGACAGCTGGGTTTGGGGTATTTTAACTAGTACAGTAAAAAAATATTGTTTCATAACTCAGGCACTTAAACAATTTTATCTTTTAATTATCAGGTTACGAGTTTGAGTCCCATTATATCCAAAAAAACCCTACAGTTCGACAGCCCTGTTAGCCTATAACCTAATGAACATATGCTCAGACGCTTCGTCAAGAGGCAGTTTCACAAACGGGCCACTTAAAAACAGTAGCCAAATTCCCTGAAATAAACAGTAAGTAAAAAACGATTAGCCGAATAATATCATTCTGTTAATTGATGGTGTGTCTAGAAAAACATAGAGTATGAATAGTTTACCTTTGAAGATGTCCTGGCTTTCGCTCATCTTGACCGTTTAAATTAAAGGGTCTATTGTTTTCTTGCATTTTTTCAACATGAGATGGCAAAACGAAACTATCTTTTCTCGTAGCATTTGGTGTCAGTTGATTGTAAAGAGCTGGAGATACTTTGATTGCTAATAATTGAATCCACAATGAGATTTGTCCGCGTCTTCTTTTATCAGAGAGATCGGCTGTAAGAAAAATGAATATTACTTAAACATGGGTCACAAACTTGTTATGAAAAAGATAGGTAGAAGTGTGGAACGCAGCACAAGTATGCATAGTTTTGAATTACTAAATGTCACACCGGCACGGTGAGTGAAAACCACTGAGTAGAAAAACAGATGAGTAAAAATAGTGGTGCTAATAGTAGTGGTGGTGGGAGCGAAACTGATTAAAGAGAAAGAGAATGACATTACTTACGAACAAGAGGAAGATTAATGACGAATACATCTGCAACAGTATTGATGACTTTGAGCCATAACTTAGTTTCCAACCTTAAATTATTCCAAAACCTACCTAAGAGACCTAAATCATTCGGTATAACATAAACCAACGGTTAGTAATTCCACCAACCTATAGCCAAAATATAAGCTAATAAGCGAGGTGAAGTAGTTTTACTTGCTTCTGTGCTTTAATCACAGTATCTACTATAGATAAAAGCAGGAGATTGTATTTTAATGATTAGATGTGGCACTGCAGTATTAACTCGGTTCACAAGCAGTACAAAAATGGGTAGTTATCGAGGGGAAACAAAATGTCTTGGAAACAGTAATAGAATGAAAAATATCGTACACAAAACAAGAAATTTGGTAGGAAAATGAGTTGAGGTAGCGGA